CCTAGTTTTTACTTTCATTAAAAATAATCCATCCACCAAGCTAGGAAACACGAAATTGCTACTCTGCCCTTAACTGATTTAGTGGTGGAGTTGGTAATGTTAGGTTAACGGTTGGACTGGATGATCTTAAAGGTCTTTTCCAACCTAAACGACTCTATGATTCTATGATTCCTGTGCAGACAAGAAGGGGGAGGGCAAAGCACGGCCTGTAGGCAGGGAGTGGAGGAGATAGGAACTTGCTCTATCCTGCAGCCTCCAGGCAGGTGACAGGAAACGTCAGTTCCACTATGTAGCGTGATGGCAGGAAAAGTTCAGCAGCTTGTGGGCAGAAAGGGCAAAGCAACTTTTGCAGTGAGTTGCTGTCAGCCATGACGGGGCTGGTGGTGTAAATATTCACCAGCTTGAATGAAAACCACACAATCAGACTTTTAGGGAAGGATGCAAACCATTCTCCTTGCAGGCTAAAGCAAAATGCTGGAACAGTACTTACCCTCTGGCACAGGAGGAGGGTTGTGAGGAAGGTTACAGCTCAGCTCATGCAGAAGCAGTGGGGAAGGCAAAGGAGCCAGACCAGCACAGCGCCAGAGAAGCTGGCTGTGTCCTTTCTGACTCTTTGCAGCGGGGCTTCTTTGAAAGGCAGTCCTGCAGCTGCTTAAAAGCAGCAGTGATGGGGGTAGCTGTCTCAGAAGTCCCAAAAGACTCTCTCAGAAGTCTCTGCCGAGCTACTGCAGAGGCAGATTGATCAGGAGGTAGCCTGCATGAGTCCTCACCTGCTGGAATTTGACCCCATGAGGCTGCAGCTCCAGGACTCCACTTAGCAGGACATCATGGTGTCTCAGCTTTACCCACTGAGGGTCTGGTGCAAGGGTTCGGAAGTAGATCCGCAGAGGGTCAGAGGCAGCCCCCGGTGGAAAGTAGAAATGGATGCCACAGGCCAGGACCACTTTGCAGCCTTCAGAGGTGACAGTAAAGCTTCCAGAAGAAATGCATGAATGTATGACACCGTGCCATGACTTCAGCCCTCCAAAACTCAACAGAAGATCTCCTACCTTATGTTTGACTGGCCTACTGAGGCCATGCGCTCCTATACACACATGCAATACCCGCCATGCACCAATCTTGTCTGGGACCTTGCTACACTACTGTAATATAAGTTCTTAATAACAGAGGCTTACCTGTCCTCCCCTGATGCAAGGAAGAGTCTTTGTAGCCCTCCGGCACTGGATTCATCTGTGGCAATAAGAAGGTTTGGGTGGGAGGGGGAGACAGAGGTTACTTAAATCAGGGTAGACAAGAAAGGCTGAACTTGCAGTTTTGGCTTAATCCTAATCTGACAGAAGTCACTAATGGAACCCTGCTCACACTGCAGCGGGCTTCAGATCAAGCAGCAGCAGGAGGACAGGAAGATGCCTAAGGGTCCCAAGACGCACTGGAAATGCTGACTGTCCCCCAGGAAAACTCAGAAGCAGGGGGAATTAGAAAATATTTCAATCTACCACCCCTGCAGATCTCAGGGCCATGTTTGATTGCCTCGGGCCACCCCTGGGAATCAGCACTTGCTCTTATGAACATGAGCACCATTGGGAAACCCTGCTCAGATTCCTGCTCATTCATCGCCTTCATCTTGGACAAAGAGCTGCTCCTCTGCAGCCTGGGAACCACAGGAAAGCAGGAGGCAACCGCACAGCAGAATGACCAGAGCAGAATTGCTCTCTGTGCTTCTAGCATGAGCCACCACAGCCTTAGGGCCATGCAGCAAGTCCAAGAACTGGTGTTCACCTCTGCTAAAAAAGCTGAACCCTTTTAGGGGCTGCCTCTCCTAATCTGTTTCCCATTTTCACTTGCACTGTAAAACCTTTCCTAGCAAGCCCAATTCCAGGGACCACTGAGCCCTTCAGACCAGGCTTGGGCTTATAAAACCACAACTAGTACTGTCTGTATCCTTACAACCTAATAATTATTCCAGACAAATAAACATTGATCTGATTCCCCCCTGCTTGTCTTCTCTAATCCAAACCCATCCACACTATGCTGGGCTGACTGAGTGAACAGCTGGACAGAACCCACAGCAGCAGAAGCCTTGCAATTACCAGCCTGGGGGGATGGCTCAGTTTCTCCTAAGGGATTGCCTCGGAGGTGCACGAATGGTGAGGTCTGGATCTCAGGGGGGACGGCACGGAGGCAATTGTTCTGCAGATCAAGTCTGGACAAGTTGGGCAGGCTGGCAAGCGAGGCAGGGACCGTCACCAGGAGATTGCTATGGAGGTGCAGCCGCCGCAGAGACTTCAAATTGGCTGCAGGTTAGAACAAGAAGTGACCCCCCATCCATGCTGTTAATTGCATTGCACATCAGCTCTAAACCCCTGCCGCTCTCCTCATCACATGTACACACACACACACAATAAGGGAAAAGCACAAGCGACCAACATCTCTTTAGCTCACAAAATAAAGGGGTCCAGGGAATTAGCTGAGAGGCAATGCAGCCTCCTCTGTCCTCTGCTTTTCAGCACCCAGCTACGAATATGGATGTAAGATGCTTCCGTAACAGCATCAATGACAACCCCAGGCACAAAGTAATACAGGACCCAAGAGCCAGGAAGCTGGGCAGCAGAAGTCAGAGCCCAGTTCTGTGGACTGGTCCACAGCAGACAGCACGATTTCAAGTCCAGATTTGCATCCCATTAAATCCCAGCTCTTCTGTTTCCAGTCCTGGGTGCTACCCAAAACCAGCCAGATCCTTGGCTACTGTGAATTGTATTGAAATCTTAGCAGTCTTGCTGATCCACAGAAACAGAAAGCATGGTCCAGAGAGCCATTAATGCTCAAAGGGACCAATTGAACCAAGCATGTTTCTTCTGGATATCCCTTCCATTTGGCTCTAACGTAACAGATGGCTTGTGCTAACAACTCTGGGGGCAGAGACCAAGAACCTCAGGGGTCCTAGACTGTACCAAAAGCTCAGCAAGCCCCCATCCTTCTTTTCCCCTAGAAAATACTTACCTAAGGAGTCTGGGATGCTTGATAAGCGATTCCCAGAGAGATCCAGCTCTGTGCAGTTGTGCAGATTCCCAACTTCTTCAGGGAGGAATTCCAAAGCATTTTCCGAGAGATCCAGGTCCTGCAGCACTGCCAGCTCCCCAATGCTCTGAGGTAAGTCCTTCAGCTGATTTTTCATAGCAGAGAAGAAAGTCAGCTTGCTCAGAGAGCCAAAGCCCTCAGGGAGTGCCACCAGGCTGTTGTGGCTCACCAGGAGCACGCGGAGGCTGGGGAGGTGGAGGATGCAGCTGGGCAAGGTGGAGAGGCTGTTGAAGCTGAGATCCAGGTGGGTGAGACACCTCAGGCTTCCAACATCTGGCGGCAAGCTTGTCAGGGAGCCATGCTGACACGAACCAAACTCATCCCTGGCATGGCCACCTGGGTGTGGAGGGAAGTGGAGGTAGAGGTCAATACGCTACAGGGTTGGTTACCTCACCAGCCTCACATGAGACTCCTTAGCACAGAGACCCAGAAGATGGGGAGTTACTGATCACAATGAGCAGCACTGATTCCAAAGTACTCATAAAGAAGTGGGTTTTCTGCTCCTTGCCTCCGTTTCCTGATCAGTGAAAGGGGTATAATGGTGAAGACCTGTTACGAAATCAAGAGATGCCACAGTCAACCAGTAGAGCACTGCTAAACACATCTGGAGTCCAAGCTCAGAAAGAGCCAGGCCGCTCCACACACCTACCACCCTTCAGCAGGGTGGCCCATACCCCTCCAAGCCTCCCACTCTCCTTCCCCATCTCTTCCCCACCAGCACCAGCGGCCAACACACAACCCGTTATGGACTAAGGAGACATTCCTTCCCCTCCAGGTTTTGCCCAGGCTGTTGAGGGATGAACAGGCCTGAGGACTGAGATCTGCCCTTCAAGACTGGAGAGCAAACGTGAAGAAAGCAGTGAAAATGTGGGAAAAAAGCAGGTAATTCAGTATAGTGTAGGCCAGACAGCACAGAAGGATACAAGTCCCCCAGCTGGTGACACTCAAACTGGAGAAGGGCTGCACCCACAGAAAATAAGTCAAGCAAACAAAAGGAAACTTCCAAAACTCTCAATTTCTTCATTGTTTCCTACTCTCCATCCACTGTTGTCTATTTGTACACACATACAGCAGAGGGCACCAAACATTTTTTATGCTGCATAATGGTAAAAAATGAGAACAATCAAACAGACACATTGCACTTTGTACATAAGATAATCTTAGCAAACTATTTCATTGCTCTTCAGATGGTCAGGGTGTGTGTACGTGTCACAAAACAAGCCTGATAACAGGTATTGCCATTATCCTCACCTTACTAAAGGAGGAAAAGACAAATGAAATTATTCACATGAGAAATCTGTGGCAGATACAGAAACAAACCTGTCTTTTCAGCTAGAATCCTGAATTCTGGCCACAAACTCTCCCTTTTTTCTCTCATTTCTTTTTAAAATTCCACCTCCCAAACAGCAAATGATTCAGTCTGATACAGAAATTATACCATTTGTATCGAGATCCTCCTACAATAAAGAGATAACAAAGTCAAAGAATGATCTAATATTTATAGATCTAACAATTATTACAGCTTGCCAAATTACATGCACGCCCTGAGTCATACTTTTGATAAAATGTTGAGCAGCCTCTGTCTTGAACTCTGCTAAACCTACGCTCACTGACACTAAGCAAGGATTAAGCTGGGATTGAATCAGATGGAAACACAGCAAAGACAGCTCATTATACTCCCAAAAATGAAAGAGGGGCTGAATATTTACAAAAAAATCCAACACCTTTCAATCCCCCTCTCCTTGCATAAATGTGCAAAAAATGCTCTTCTTCTAGAGGATGGCTAAAGCAAATGTTGCAGCATCAACCCAACCAGACTCCAAAAACCAGTCCCCAGGCAGCTGTAGAAACAAAGGAAGGAAATAAGAGTCTAGAAGCTGTATCTTGTTGAAATCTGCATGCAGCTCTGAGCAAGGCTAAGAGCCAAAGCTGTAGTAAGGGGCACTATAACAAAACAATTCCAAGGGCAGTTTGTCCTGCAGATGTGGAGAGAAGGGTAAAAAAAAAGCTGAGCCTAGAAAAGTTGGATGGTGATGGGCCCAGGAATTTACCTTTGAGCACCAGGGACTTCAGGTGCTTCAGATGAGGAAGGATGCCCAGCGTGGTGCCAAGGAGGCGATCGTTGCTGCTGAGCCGGAGGAACTCCACCTGTGCCACCTCTCCCTGTCGCCCCTTGAACAGTTGGAGGAACTGGCGGCAGCCGTCAGGATAAACATCCAGGTTCAGCCTGTTGTCTGCAAGGCAGGAGCTGGCAAGCGCAGGAGCCCCCGAAGCCCCCTCCCTGCACTCGTCCCCGAGCCCCAGCAGCTCTGCCATCTTCTGCATCTCGTCCACGGGGTCTGGACATGCTCTGACTTGCCAGGCAGGCAGGCACCGGCGGCACCACGAGGCAGCCGGGACAAGGAGGAGGAGGAGGAAAGATGGCTCTGAAAGAGAACACAAGTGCATGATGAAGGCCTCCTGCCCCAGCCCAGAGTGGCTGGAAACAGTTTATAATCACAGCAAGAGGGCAGGAGGGATTACACGCATGTTACTGAAAGATTTAAGGACAGAGAGCACAGAAATGCAGGGTGACAGATGCCACGGAAGCTCTTCCTCCTAGGGAAAACCTCTGAGTTTTCACAGCCGACATCTTGGCAGGGAATGGAGCAATTACCCACCATCAGAATAAATACCACTATTAACTTTAAAAGACATAAAGGTAAATGCCTATGCTTTATGCAGATTTCAAAGTGCCTTAGTGGGAAGCTTTACAAGTGGAGGGGGAAAACGGGGCAGGGAGAGTCAAGCCAGGAGTAGAGCCCAGAGGCTGCTCACAAGCTGGTCCTCATCAAACCTGGCTGTGAAACCGGGTGCCAACGGGACAAAAGTGAGCATAGATGAAAACAGGCAAAGGGGAGCAGAGCAAACGTGGCAGGGCCAGGGAGAGGGTTAGAAAAGGCACGTCTGTGGCACAGGAGCACTGGACTGCACAGCAGGACTGAGGCTCTTGCAGATTTGCCTCAGCAGGGATGCTCTAACGCAGCAAACAAGGCACAAAGCCATGGCCAGCTAGTTACCAGCTAGTCCTTGTTTCCTCCCCTCACAGCACCCTGCACAGATAAAGAGAAAGGGGAAAAGTAGGTATCACATAGTGCACGCTAAGAAGGATTTAAACCTAAAGGAGCAGAGGTATGAAATTTGAACAAATTAATTATTCCTCTGCCTTACTAGTGTGAAGAAGCCTTCATCACCTAGGACTTTCAAAATCAGCCACTATCATCACAGCACACTGGTAGTGCAAAGACAAGCAGAGGCACCATGCTTTATACCAGTAGTCACACACCTCCCTTTTCCTGCTCCTTCCACTTCCTTTATCTTTTGCAACTCCTCCTCAGCTTGGCAATTAAACTAGCTTACGGTGTGAATATCAGGAGTTCTTTTTAAACCCATGGATCAAATAGACAAATAGAAGTTTCAAGTGATGCAGAACTACAGAAAACTTATAATGGCTTTACCGTCCAAGGCCAGCAGAAGCAAGCTAATGCCCCTGCAACACCGTGAGGAGCAGTGCTTTTTACTGTTAACTCATGGGACACGGCAGCACTGATGCTCCCAAGGCAGTCTTGGGGGGAGGCGGCACACCCAGCCCCCTGAAAGAGCAGAAGCCTTACAGACACATAAGGACAGGAAGAACAGATAAATGGAAACTACTGTTTTAGTAAAAAGGTATGCATTTCTTACAAAAAGGCTGTATGCAACACATATGCAGCTCTCTTACAGATACGCATAAGCAAAAAAATATCTGCTATAGCTTTGTAAAGTTACTGATGGCGAAGGAACCAGAGAGCAGCTCTGAACTGGCCAGGCTGGAGAGGCTCGGAGACCACAAACGCAGCCTCTGGCATGCGTACAGGGCACGGGCAGGCACCCCTGTACACAGGCACGCGTGCACGTACGTACACACACACACACACACACACACTCGCCCCGGGCTGGCCCCACCTGCCCTGCCGCCAGCTTTGGCAGCCCCAGGCCCCCGTTACCCCACACCCCACAGGGCCACTGAGCCGAGACTCAGCCCCCGGAGACCTCCCCGGCAGGACCTACAGCCGAACAGCCCGGCCACAGGCACTGTGCCCCGCTGAGCACGGCCACGCTTGTCTCACCCCTTCTGCACCCGGTCCCCGGCACACAAAACCTGGGTGCCGAAAGCCCGGCCGTGCTCGGCTTGGCTCGGCTCAGCCCAGCCCAGCTCGGCTCAGCTCAGGCACTTCCTGCAAAGTTTGCAGGCGAGCTGCGGCTGCCGGGGCGGGACGAGCGGGAGGAGGTGCCAGACGCAGCGGGACGAGGGGCAGGCGGCTCTGGGGAGCCAGGCCCAGGCGTCCCGCTGTCACGAAAATGTCACAAAATGAGATTTTCCTAACACCGCTATGGCCTTGGCACCCCAGCTCAGCCTGCAGGGAACGGGAGGCACAGGCATCTCCTGGTGGTGTGCTCACTCGCTGCCAATTCAGGGAGAGAAACGTAGCAGGAGCTGGGGCGCCCAGAAGGGCACAGGGCTGGGGGCCACAGAGCCAGCCCTCAGTCTGCCCAGAGCCATGGGGCTTTGCCACGGCTGGGCCTTTGCTGCCCTGTGTGCCCCGGGAGGGTGCCTGCCTTCAGATAGCTGTCTCGCGGCAAGGGATGCCATTTGGTCTAACACCGCATCCTGGCAATGCCCCACGGCATTTGTGCTGCTCTCCATTTCGCTCAGAGGGGGAAAGCCGGGTTTTTCTGTGACAGCGAGTTTCTGGCTGGTGCCTCGATGCTGTGACATGGCGGTGCTGCTGCAGTAATGCCCCAGAAGTGCCCCTTGCTCAAAGCTGAGCACAAGCCAAGGGAAATTTCCCCAGGGGAAATGTCTCTTCCCACAAGGATTAAACACTAACTGCTGACTGCTTCTCTGAAGCACTTCCTCAGTTATAAAACTGGGAGCCTGGTTGTTTTCTGGCGACACCGGAGTTACCAATTAGTGGAGGGTGCTGTCACCCGTGCAGGGGGTTTCCGGGAAGCCTCC